CCCCAAAACCCCCAAAACCCCAAAACCCCAAAACCCCTGATTACTAATTATAAATTGGGATAATGGAGGGCAATAAAATTTATTTGGAGGAACAATTCTCAAGCCAATTACTTAATTATCCTGAATTAGAACTTCGTCTGTGACGGGAGGTGAACGATCATAATGAACGAAGCTCATCCTTAAAAATGTATGATTACTCTTTCTTCGGATCACTACTATCATCATCGGTTGATCCTTTCTGGTATATGCCAGCATTAGTTGGTTTTCTCTCAATTACCTCAACTTCAAAGTGCTCACTGAGCCCTCTGATTGAAGAATGAAGCTCAGCAATTGAGTTCCTGAGGTCATCTATCTCTCTTCTAACTCTATCTTCTGGGCTCTCCATACCATAATTTCCTCTGATAGATTTAGCAATCTGCTTGAAATTCATCAGATACTTTCTGAAAACTTTAAGTTTGTTGAGCACCATCTTTTTCCTATCCTTGCCATCATCAGCTTGTTCACTCTTTCTCTTGGCTCTCTTATGTCTGAATGCAGAAGTGATAACATTGACAGCCTGTAGCTTAAGTTCTTCTTTGTCTTCTAACCTACTAATAAGTTCATATGACCTTGACTCTGATTGATCGAATCTAAGCAGGTTTTCTAGAGTGATAACGAACAGGGACACCAAGTATACACCATAGAATGAACAGATTATACCAACAATTCTACTTGGATTACTCTTTGGGAAGAAGTCACCATATCCTACGGTTGTCATTGTGACAATTGACAGCCAGACAGGATTTGAAATCTTGTTAAAATTTTGCTCTGAAACTTCAGACAGGTCTTGATCGAAAATCCTTATCAAATATCCAAAGTAAAACATACTCATGACCAGATTTGTCATTAGAACGAGGTAGGGTTGGCTGGTCATTAAACATTTAATCGAGAAACTAAAGCTCGCATAACATCCATTCATTTGGCAAACTCTTTGTGCTCTGGTTGACATGTAAAATGAATTTGTGAGGACTCACTTTATAATTAAATAAATTCTTATAAAGCTCCACCCAAGTAAAAGATCGTTATACCAGTGCTTTATTTTCACATCATAGTTGTTGTTTTTCTCTTTAAAAGTTGAGTCATGAATAAAGGGCAAAGGAGAAATCAAGCAGATGGCACATTCTGCTATGAGCATCTTGTACATACCAGTATTTAGAAGATCATCATTTCTAGTTAAGAAACCTCTTGCTCTCATCCAGCTAAATTCGTTTTTGTATGAGAAAAACAGGGAGATGCATAACAAAATTGTTGTTAGGAAGTTTATTGAAAGTAAAATGATCCTTATGTCATCGTTAGCTCCGTGACCGTACTCAAATCTTATCTCTCTTTCAATAATTCAGATTCCAAGTCCTATCATTCCAAGATAAGCGTTACAAGCTTGGGAGATTCTCAGTCTTGAAAATGCTCTTGTCACAATTCTAGCATCCCCAACTATTCTTGGTGCTCTTTTAATGTTATTTTTAGGCTCATCTTCTTGCTGAACATCAGGAACATCGAATCTTGAAGGAATAATTATCGGAACATTATTTGTGAATCCTCCTCCTCCATTGCGAGAGAAGTTATTGTGAGGAACCAAGTGGGCCATCTCTTAATTTATTATTTATATAAGCTTACTCACTATTGGGGTTTTGGGGTTTTGGGGTTTTGGGGTTTTGGGG